GAATAAGAAGCAGAGTTACTGGGTGACTTCAAAGCAGGTGTCCTGTTTTGGAGAGCGGCTGCACAGAGGAGCCTTGCACTGAGGGACCTTGAGAAAGGCATGATCTCAGCAAAGCATTTCTAAAATTGCAAAACAACATGGAAAGACAGTTTCTTCACATGCACTAAAATCTTAAAAAGGGCTAAGAATTGAGCAGTGGGAAGCATCCTGTTTTCTTTAGAGGTGGTAATCTAAAGGTAACCTGCGAGAAGAGTTCAAACAAGCTTGCACTTTGTGAGTTCGCGAACCAAGAATCCACCCTTTTCTGTCTTTGCATTCAAGCCAAGTCTGTTTGGGGGACCCAAGGGTTAGTTTTAGTGGAGAACGAGGAGACTAACAATAGAAGACAATGATGAGCTTTTTCAGTGCTGCCAAGCTGAAATTCCTGTCACCAGATGCACACTTTCCTCAGTTCTTGTTTTGTTCTGCTTAGATTTGTAGCTTGTGAATAGATGGAATTCAGAATAGAGGCTAGAGTAGGATGGGAGAATTTGTTCATGTCTTCAACAACTGATACAGCATGTGTCTCAGGTCCTGAGACACAGGGAGGCGCAGGGAGGCAGGGGGAGAGATGAGGGCCACCGAAGTGGTGACAGGAGCTGTCTGAAGTGAGTGGAGAGGCTAGCTGAGAGGCTCGTGGAAACTCCTTAGGCAAGAGGAAGAGCCACAGGAGGGTTAGCAACAGGTGATAGTGGCCCGGAGGTGGTGCTGGGAGCCTGTTAGAATCTTGGCTGGAGGCAGGCAGGACTGCAGTGAGGGTGTGGCACACCAGCCTTTCTTTGTTATTCACAAACGTCTAGAAAGAGTCTACCTCCATGGCAGGTGTGAGAATAGGAGAAATGGAAGGGAACCTGTGAGACGGTACAGAGTCAGAAAGGAAGAGGGGAGGTCGTGAGGAGCATGTGTTTCAAGCCGAGACAACCAAGAGATGTATTAAGAGTAGTCACTGGAGAGCTGGGAGAAGGAGCTGGTGGTGGTGTTTGCGGGGCAGGGCTTTGGCTGTGTGTGATGTGTTGACAGAGGAGGATGTGGCAGGAGAAGGACTGGACTATCAGTGTGCCTCATTTGAGATGCCACAGGGATACCCCTAGTCGAGTGCTTGGGTCTGGAGCCCAAGGAAGAGTAGGGCAGAGGAGAGGACCCCTGAGTTCTCATATCCCAGAAGGTAAACTTTGGTGTGTGTCCAGAGAAATGCTCAGGGAAGGGACGAGAACTGCTCAGGTGAGACCTTCCAGAGTTCTGTGGTCTGACCATTAATTGATCAGTCACTGCTTTGCTACCATTTTTTTAATTGACAAATTAAATATATTTATGGTACTCATGATATTTTGATACATGTATACATTGTAAAAGGGCTAAATTCAGCTAATTAAATTTATTACCCAATACTCGTATCCTTTTTTTTTTTTTTGTAGTAAGAACATTTATGATGTATTATGATAGCAATTTTCAAGTTCCTTTGTCACCCCACTGTGTGATAATCTCCTGGACCTAATCCTCCTGTCTGGCAGAAATTATGTTATTTAACCAATGTCTACTCCTCCCCTGCCCCAACCTCTAGTAACCACTATTTTACTCTGCTTCTATGAGTTTGACTTCTTTTCATCTCACACACAAAGTCATACAGTATTTGTCTCTATTTGTCTAGCTTATTTTATTTGACATGTCTTCTAGCTTCATTCATGTTATTGCGAATGTCATGATTTTCCTTCTTTTTCAAAGCTGAGTAATTTCCACTCCCTCTCCTCTTGCCCGCTTTGATACTGTGTATTAAACCCCAGGCCCTACACATAATAAAACACTGTGGTACCACTGAGCTACACCTCCAGCCCTTTTTACTATATTTTGAGGCAGTCTTGCTAAGTTCCTCATTTCTCCTGCTTCAGCCTCCTCACAGCTGGGCTTACAAGTATGCACCACCATGCCTCGCTGGCTGAATAGTATTCCCATGTGTGTAACGGTGCCACATTTTCTTTATCCATTGAGGGACCCATAATTTGAGTGTTGTGCATAGTGGTGTAAGGAATATCTTCCATCTTTTCATCATAATTTTAACAGCCTTTGAAAAGGTACCACTATGGTGGAATAGGTGTAGGGGTTGGAAGTGAACCGTAAAAGATGGACGGGTTTATTACTGAGGAGTACATCAGCTGTTAGGGGACAGAAGCGCAGTCCCCACAGGTAGCACCGTGGCATTTTTCCGTTGCTCTGGTTGGATGGGCTGAGGCGAGGGGCTGTAGGAAGCTGTCCTGTGGGTCACCTTTCTGGGGCAGTTGCTTTGCAGCGTCATTGACAGCACAGCATTTTCCTAAAAACTGTTATATCTCTTGGTGGAACTTAGAAATACAGTTTAGAAGATAGTTAAGTTTGTTTCATCTAAATGCGAGAATTTTTCTTGAAACGTGATAGAAAGAGTGCCTCCCTGGTGGTAAGGCTTCCACCTTTCAGCCTTGCAGACATATCTTTAACCTTTTTTAAAGCTCCGTTTTCTCATCTATGAAATGACCAGAATAGTAATTTACAAGTATGTGTATGTATATGTGTGTTTGTAAGGGCAGATATATGCGTTGTTGTATGTATATCCCACACACATACCAGCATTTTATGCATATTTTAACTTTTAATCTTCAGAATAATATGAGATATAGTACAGTTATTATCCCAATTTTTAGGTACTATACCAGAGAGGGTACTAATCTGCCCTAAGTCGCACAGTGTTAGAGCCAGGATTTGAACACTACCTGCTCCAGATCTCTGCCCTCACCACCACTCTATAGTGAGCTGACACATGGAAAGCCTTAAGTGAAGGGTCTTTTGTGTTGCACTTGAAATGGACTTGTGGCTTCAGGAGTGGCAGCTGCGACTGCAGCTGCCTATGGGCACTTGACATTGCAGTGTTCCAGGTCAGTCTGGACAGCACTGAGGGGCTGATCTTGCTGCATGCACAGCCAGTCCAAATCTGTCCTTTTCACACTAGTCATACTTAGCTGTGCTGATCTGCGTCATCTACCGTTCACCAGAAGGAAGGCTCTGGGGTGACTCAAGCCTTCCTTGCCCTACACATACAGAGGTATAGATGTGTGCTAGTGGTGTGTGTTCCACAGTCAGTTGTTGCCAGGGAGGCCAGTGGCCTAATAGCCCCCTGCCGGGGGGCAGCATACCTCAGCCAAGAGATGGCACACTTGCCTGTGAAATGAGGAAGCTGGAAGCTGCTCGGGTCCCACCACTCCAGCAGCTTGTGGTATATCTCCAGTGTCTGTGTTGTGACAGAAGGATGTGCTCCGTGGCCAGCAGGAGTCATGGGAGTTTAACATTCTGTGTCAGAGTCCTGCTCCACTCAGAGTTAAACACTTGTAAAGGTGACATTTGAGGGAATTAGAATTTTGAGTCCTTTCCATTTCCTGGCCCAGTGAATCATTCCTGGAGAAGTCCTAGTATTGTAAATTTCACGGAGAGTATAAATCACAAATGAACAGTTCCTTGACCTCAGCAGTTTATAATTTGTATGAGTCATAAATAAAAGCAATATCAAAACTAAACTGAGGAAAGTGATACAAATAATGATGTTGATAGTGTTGCAAATGGAAGGTTCTGTTGAGGTAGAATATTTTTCTCCTAGAAGGCAAAGCGCTACAGAAGGGTAATGCAGCCTTCTTTATAAAGACCTTAGCATTGAAGTACCAAACATAAATGGAGTTCTACTATATACAAAGTGCTATATTTGGAGCATGATGATGCGGCTTGCAAGGAAAGAGCAATGGAAGGGATGTTATAGAAGACTACATGTGGGAACACAAAGGAAGGTTTCGCCCTGGCAACCAGAACCCAGATGACACTGAAGAGTGAGCAGAAGTTACAGGACATCCCAAACAGGGCGTGAGTGGTGTGAGACTGCGCAGCAGTGGGAAACCCTAAGTAATTAGTGGTCATGGGGAAAAGGGGGAGAGGAAAGGAGGCTACCAGGAGTTCTGGTACCAGGTCTTTGGGCGACTGTGGGAGAGACTTCAGGGCAAAGAAGACAGAATTATGGGGAAATGGAATAAATTCATGCATGCAATAAGTGCCAAGGAAAAATGAATTCTTTGTGTACAAGACAACAGCAGGATCATGACAGAGGCGGAGGACATGCTGGGAATACTAGGTTTAGTGGTGGCAGTGTGGGCCAAGGAGAGAAGAGAGTGGTCACAAGTTCCTGAGAAAATGGTGTCCAGTTCAGCAGAGCTTTAGGTTGAGTTACTTGTGGGCAGAGAAAAGAACACCCTTTGGGGAGTTTGAGAGTAGGGATATTTTGTTTGTGTTTTTGAGACCGGATTTCGCTATGTAGTTGAGGCTGGCCCTGAACTCACAGCAGTCCTGCCTTAGCCTCCTAAGTGCCATGATTATAGGTACACCTTAGTTGGGGTATCTGTTGACTGAATTCATATTGGGCAAACGAGTTAGAGAAACAGCAAAGTGCGGATAGGTAGGTAGTAGGGAAATGATCCGAGGGTCAGCATTTTGGGTATAACAAAAAGTAGTGGGAACCTGAGTCATGGTAGATTGGGGGGTCTTGAGTTCTAGAATGTTCTCTGGAACACACTTTTCTGGTACTGTTCAAGTGGGTGCGTTGGAGGCCTATGATCTTGGTAGTACGTAGGCACTGAACTTCTTATAAGATCTCAGACTCAGTTTCCTGCAGAAAATGACGACTGACATGAGTCCTGTGGAAGGATCAGAGTTCTGATTAAGGACATTTAACTTGCAGCCTTGTGAGTTTTCTTGGGCAGTGGGGGAGATAGATACATCTTACGATGCTTTGTAGAAATAACTTCCCATCAACTCCAGAGACTGATTTCTATCCCAGTGGTTGGTAGGATCAGATATTTAATTGCCAGAGCAGGAGCAGTTCTTGTCTTATTCTTTTGGCTAATCTCTCTGTGTTGCTCCGATTATTTTTTTAACCTGATCTCTCTGCTCTTCAGAACCGGACTATCAGGTGTACCTGAATGCTTCTAAGACCCCTGGGTTTTCAGACGACCCCACTGAACTGGAATGCCGGGTAGTGGACATGAAGAACACGCAGGCAAGTGTCCGTTTTACCGTGTCGTGGTACTACAGAGTGAACCGGCGCAATGACGGTGTGGTGATCAGTGAGCTTCTCGCAGTCATGGACGGGGACTGGACACTGAGATACGGAGAGAGGAGCAAGCAACGGGCCCAAGATGGAGAGTTTATTTTTTCTAAGGAGCGCACAGACACATTCAATTTTCGGATCCAAAGGACTACAGAGGAGGACAGAGGCAATTACTACTGTGTGGTATCTGCATGGACCAAACAGCGGAACAATAGCTGGGTGAAAAGCAAAGATGTTGTCTCCAAACCTGTCAGTATATTTTGGGCATCAGAAGGTAAGGGCTTTATTCTTCTCATTATCCATTTTGGGGTTTTTAAAATTTCGCTTGTCATTCTGTTGTATATTTCCAGGTGCACAGTCACTAAGAATCATGCCCATACACTAAGGGCGCGTCATCACCACATGACTGTATGCCCTCTTTTGGCTTAGTAACTACCACCTGTCCAAAACTCCCAGTGCCAGAAAGGTATCCTACAACTCACTGTCGCTAAGCAAAACATCCTGTTTCCTGAACCCTATGTCTGAATATTTCTTTCCTTTCTTCCATTAAATAGTACCATTTGGCAGTTTTCTGTCACTGAAAAAATGATGGGAAAAACGGTTTAGAGGAGAAATGTTTATTTTGGCTCATGGTTTCAGAGATTTCAATCTGTGATCTGCTGGCTTCATCACTCTTAGACTCGTGGTGAAGCAGAGTCCTATGGTGGAAAGGTGTGGCAGAGGAAAGCACTCGCCTCACGGCAGCCAGAAAGCAGAGAGAGAGGGCAAGAGCTAGGGACAAGAGGCAGTCTTCCAGATCACGGTCCCAGTGACCTCACTACCTCCTAAGAGTCCATTTAGCTATAAACTCATCAATTGTTAATTAATGCATCGCTAAGTTCAGCACCCTCAGGATCCAGTCACCCCTCGAAGCCCCACATCTAAACATTGCCACTGCACATGAGTCTTTGGGGGTCACATCATATTTAATGCATAACAGCTACCAGCCTTACTCTCTGAAGACATTGTTTCCACTGGAGCCCTTCTGAGTGGTGGCATTTTCTTCCCACAATCCTCATATAACTGGGCCTGCCAGAGGGACTGTTACCCTCTGCTTCCCTGCTGCAGCTCCCAGACCATTTTCTCTCAGCCCCAAGAATACCTTGCTGTGTCTCTCCTGTCTTCAGACCGTACCGCCTGCTTTCCTCACTGGCTGTTGGCACCTCGGCCTCCTCCCAATCATTTGTTGGCAGTGTTCACTTTGGCTGCATAGCTGTTGTTTCTGTTAGTGCTCCTGTCTTGCTAACTTTGTCAGAATCACTGTAGGAGCTTTAAAGACAACCCCCCAAATCTGCTGGGCATTCTCATTGCTGTAAGGTAAATGCAATCTGGGCCCCATAATTTGATTCTCATGCATATCCAAGGTTGAGAACCTAATGGAAATAACCCTTTCACGCTCAGTCCTTATGTTCCCTTCTCTGAGCACCGAGTCTTCTATCCTGTTTTGGTGGTGTTCTCTCTGTATGCTACATTAGACAGCTCACTTCTGGCAACTGAAAATCCTCCATAATCTCAGTCCTCTGCATCTTGTTCTGTAAATATGTCTTCTTTCTGGATTCTTCTTCAACCCATCAGTCCTGCTGGAACCAAAAAGCCATTGATTTCTCCACCTTCCATTGTCCCTCATTCCTACACTGTCTTCACTTCTCTTTACCCGAGGTGATCCTGGGCTCAGGACACTGCAGCCTACACCTGGTGTCCTTATATAATTATTATTATAGCACCTCTTTCAGCCTTAGGTGAATGGAGGAAGTGGTGTAAATTATGTGGTCAGACACTGTTACCAACTCTGAATTCCCAATCATGTTGCTCTCTTGCATATCCTTATACACTGGCTAAACCACAACTTTATTTAAAGCCAACTTTCTGCCACCTCCCTATCTGCATATGCAGCATTAAATGCAATTGAAGGAAATCATTTCAACTATGTTAATGGTCTCACTACATATCTGTGATCACTTGTGTCAAGTGAGTTCTCAACATTGCCTGGCAGTCATTCTGCATTTCTTTATTGGCTTCTCCATGCTCCTAAGTGATTTTTGCATATCACCTTCTGCAGACTTCCTTCCCCATCAGCTGTTACTCCTATTTCTTCTTTCCTAAAAAGAAAAAGTCAGAGAATTTCCCCATTCTGTACCCCATGGCTGAGCCTGTGTTACTCAGCCTTATGTCCTAGCAAAGGCCAGACTCTCTTATTACTCTTGCATGTGGTCCTTACTTTGTGTCTTCAATATCTCTCTTACCTCTAGATCTTTCCCACTGACCTGTTACCCTGTGGTTCAGTCTCTTTACTTTTTTTTTTTTTGGGTACTAGGACTCAAACTCAGGACTTTGTGCTTGCCAGGCCTGCTGCTGAGCTGTATCCCCAGCCCTACCTTTTTCTAAATGTAAAACTAATCTTGAACTTTTTCTTCATCTTTCTGTTCCCCTTAACTCTTGCTCTCTCTTCTCTCTTTCCTTTCATAACCATCGTATTTGACTTACCTATATTTGATGTATTCAGTTTCTCTCCTCCCATTCTCTTTGGTACTTCCTCCAACTTGGCTTTCCCCCTTTCTGGACATGACAAAATGGCCAGGGACTGACACCTTGCAAGTTAGTTATCTTACTTGATTTGTCAGAATTTAACGTAGGTAGTCACTCCCGCCCTCTGGAAAGACTTTGTCTTTTCCCGCCTCATTGGGATACCACCTTTTTCAGGCTTTCTCTGAACTACACTGGCTACTACTTCTCAGCCTACTTTGTAGATTCATGTTCGTTTCTCTAACCCCAAAGATTACACAACTTCAAGACATAATCATTGGACTTCGAGTCTGCTTAACAGCTCCCTTGATGATCTCTTCTAATTTCAGGAATTCAAATACCTTTTATACATCAGCAACTCCCAATTTTACAGTTCTACCCTAGGGCCTTTTCAGAACTCCACTCTCAATGTTATATTGCTGTCTTGACACTTAGATTTGTGTAATGGGCATTTCAAACTTCTCTTCAAAATGGCACATCTGGTCTCTGCCAGCTTGCTTCTCTCACCTTCTCTAGTACAATTTTTTTAGTAGTTCTAATCAAAACATTCGTCCCGGACACCTTATTCTTTTTTTTATGTGAGGTGTGTGGTACTTAGGATGGAACCGAGGACTTCACTCATGCTAGCTAGGTAAGGGAACAACCCTTAAATGCAAATCAGGTCATGAAACTCATCTTCAAATTTCAGAGGCCCCTGATGTCAGTGAAGAACCCAGCGTCCCCTCAGTGGCCTTGATTGCCTGTAGCACCTGACCACCCCATTGTCCTCTGGCCTTATCCACAACTCTCCCCAGTGCCTGCCCTGGACCACTCTCCTGCAGATCCTCAAGCCTCTAGGCATGTACTTGCCTTCCAGCTCTGCACTTCTGTTCCTTCTGCCTGGAATGCTTTTTCTCAGGAGGAAGCGAGGCCCATGCTTTCTTCTTCTCCAGGTCCTTTGTCAGATGGCTTCTTCTCTGCGGGAATGTCTTCGTTACTCTACCTATAATTATAGCCCCTCCCCATATGTGTCTCTTGCTTATCTGCATTTTTTTTCCTTAAATGACTGCCAGCTAACCTTACCACAGATTTTACTTATTTGTTTTGGTTGTCTTCCTCCACTAACATGTAAAAGGAAGGATTTTCTCTCTTTGGTTTATTGTCGTCTTCCCAGGTTCTACAATATGGTGGGCTTTCAGTAAGCGCTTGTTTAATGAGTCAGTGGGTGACAAAACGCAAAAGAGTGACCCTAGAGAGACGGCATGGTGTTCATGTTCTGTTAATCAGTTTGATGGAGTGAATGTTCTAAAAAAACCCAACAGAAAACTCTTGTCTTATGACCGAGCAGATTATACAACTAATCGTTATAATGAAAGACAAAAAAGACTGGATCTAATGCATTTATTTATTTCTTCATTTAAAAATGTTAAGTAATTTCTAAGTGCCGGACATTACACCATAATAATAATGTCATCTTAGTACTAAATCTGTGCTGTAACGTTACCCTCACAGGAGTCCTGCTTGCTCTACTCCTCCGAGCAGCCAGCTCTCCAGAATGCTGTCCATGAACTCCGCAGATGCTCAGGGCAGGAGAGGCGGGTGGTGTGGCTGGCACACTGGGCCGTGTTTTGGGTTCAGCTATGCTCTCCCAGGCTCCCTCAGAGTGAACTCTATATCTCATCTTTGGGGGTGCTGTTAGTGCCTCAAATTCTTTCTCCTAGTGAAATATCTCAAGGACTTGAAATTCCTTCCGACCAACATCTCAATGTCACAAAGTCTCATCACGAGTTCCTTTTTTCCTTGCATCCTGTAAATCTTTTCACACTGGTTCTTCCTGTGTGGTAGTGTTCAGCACACTTAAAGATGCATGAGTTTCCTTCTGAGTTTCCAGATTTTCATAAGTAATGGTAATTTGCAAATGAATTCCTGTTTCCTTGACATTTTGCTTTTAGATACTTATCATTTTAACTGATCCTATTGAAAATCACCTCCTTCTGGTCCTTCATTCCAGATTCCATGCTTGTGGTGAAGGCAAGGCAGCCGAAGCCTGTCTTTGCTGCAGGGAATACATTTGAGATGACTTGCAAAATATCTTCCAAGAATATTAAGTCACCACGCTACTCTGTTCTCATCATGGCTGAGAAACCTGTTGGGGACTTCTCCAGTCCCAATGAAACGAAGTCCATCATCTCCCTGGACCAGGATGCTATCGTGAAGCTGGAGAATTGGACAGATGCTTCACGGGTAGATGGTGTTGTGTTAGAGAAAGTCCAGGAAGATGAATTTCGCTATCGAATGTACCAAACTCAGGTGTCAGATGCAGGGCTGTACCGTTGCATGGTAACAGCTTGGTCACCTGTCAGGGGCAACCTGTGGCGGGAAGCAGCAACCAGTCTCTCCAATCCTATTGAGATCGATTTCCAGACCTCGGGTAAGCAGCAACTCTGTTGAATCATAGATTGAGCTAGAAGTGACTCTAGGGTTCTGATCAGTTATCCTCATTAAAAAAAAACAAACTGCAACCCCCCCCCCAGCTTTATTGAAATAGAATTCATAAGCCCATTTAAAGTATATAAAGTACGTGATTTGGTGGCTTTTCATATATTCAGAACATTGCACAACCATCACTACAGTGAATTTTAGAACATTTTCAGAACACCAAAAGAAAACCTGAACTCTTAAGTGATGACCCCCAATTCTACCTCCCCGCTCTTCCCCCACCCTCCAGCAATCTTTCTGTCTGTTAGATTTGTTTATTGTAGACAGTTCCACAAGCGGGACGTGATTTGTGGCCTTCTTGTCTGTTACTACCTTTTAGCATAGTTTTCAAGAGGCATCCCTGTTGTAGGAAATGCAGTACTTCATTTTTATGGCTGTATAAACTCTACTGCATGGATAATCCTGAATTTGCTTTATCATTTCATTAGCCAATGGACATTTGATATCTCCATTTCCTGACTAGTTTTTCAGTAAATATGGTTTCATTTCTGTATCATTTTTTAAAAAATAGACTGAAACTCAGTACTTCAGATTCTTTAGAGATCATGGTGGACTATAAAGAAAGAAAGCAGGGAACTGAACTTCTAGAGAGGCTAAATGGTTTGCCAAAATTGGGAGGTTGAGAGCTGAGATCCCAGTGTTACCCATTTGTGTGACTTTCTGCACTTAGGGTTCTGCAGGACTGAAGGTGGTGACTTCTGTTTTTGGTCCAAATAATCGGAGCAGTGTTTCATTCCCAACTGTTTCTTGCCTTGCTGTTAGACTGCCAGAAAAAAATTCCTACAGTTAGTCACCAGAGCTACTGTGGTATAACTTAATGTATCTATCTACTTTATTGGTTAAGAATGATTATTAATGCTGTTATCTATGGGAAAGTTGAGGACATTTTTATGTCTGTTCTGAAATTATTTTGGGGGCAATTAGAATGTGTTATCTCATAATGCATAAAGGTCCACTTTTGCTGATGGCATAGGTATCAGTGTACAAGGTATGTACATTGCTCTCAAACACAAATATAGCTTACTGGCTGAGTATCCACCAGTATCACCAAAACTCTGGGAGACTGACATGCAGATTATAAATTTGAGGCCAGCTTGGGCGATTAGGAAGACCGTGTTTCAAAATAAAAAATAAAAAGGGCTGGAGTTATAACTCGGTGCAGAGAGTCAGGGTTCAATTTTCAGTACCTCATCTATATAATTCATTAAGATCCTCTTAAAAATCTGTGTATGTAGTTATATTTCAGTAGGAAGATTAAATAAGTTTTAAATCCCTAATCTTGTTCAGAATATTACTGTGAAGGATTATCATTTGTGACTTTAATACTAACAGTTTTCACCGACGCTGCCCTAAGATCCAGTAAGGAATTTCTGAATATACATCTGCATACTCACCTATAAAAATTTTAACATTAATTGAATCAGTATAACAAATGTATTTGTTGAATTATTTGCATTTGTTTTACATTTAACTAGGCTATAATAAAGTGAGTATTCTATAAGATTTTTAACCTTTTATGATGAAATAATTCTTTAGCATCTCTTAATCTAAATGAATAAAGTCTGAATATTGATGAAAGCCCTTAGATTTAGAGTAGATAATGCATAGACATCTTTGATGTATATATTTGATTGTTTTTAATAGCTTTATTGAGATATGATTTGCATACCTTTTTTTTTTTTTTTTTTTTTTTTGGTCTTTTTCAGACAAGGTCTCCCTATGCAGTTCAGGCTGGCCTTGGGCTCACTTTATAGCCCAAAGCTGGTCTCAAACTCATCTGCTTATTTCTTGACCCTGGCAATTACTGATCTACTTTGTATTACTGCAGATTTCTCTCCTCTGACCATCTCATATGAATTGAGTCATATGAAGTATGTGGACTTCATAGCTGGTTTTTTTTTTCCTTAGGCACAATGTTTTCAAGGTTGATCTATGTTGCAGCATGTATCAGCACTTTGTTGCTTTTTATGGCTAAATAATTTTCCATCATATGGAGATAACTCTATTTTGCTACTTGTTTTTTAATGAACATTTAGATTATTTCACTTTTTGACTGTTTTGAATGCTGCCATAAACATTAGTATTTGAAAATAATTTCTCCCATTCTATAGGTTGTTTTTGTATTTTCTTAATGGTATTCCTTGAAATAGCAAAGTTGATGAAATCTAATTTATCTGATTTTTCTTTTTGTTGATTATGTCTTTGGTGTCATATTTAAGAAGTCATTCATTCCTTATTCATGGATAAGAAGAACAAACATTGTGAAAATGGCCATTCTCCCAAAATTGTTATACAAATTTAATGTAATTCCAATCAAAATACCATTAGCATATTTCACAGATCTAGAGAAATTGTTCCTAAAATTCATTTGTAACCAGAAGAGACCTAGTATAGCAAAGGCAATTTGGGGCAACAAAGGCAAGGCAGGAAGCATCACCATCCCCAACTTGAAATTATACTGCAAAGCTACAGTGATAAAATCAGCATGGTCCTGGAATAAAAACAGACCTGAGGATCAAAGGATAGATTAGAAGATACAACCACAGCTACCAACACACTCAGCCACCTTATTTTCAACAAAGGGGCCAAACATATGCACTGGAAAAAATGATGGTCTCTGTAATAAGTGGTGCTGGAAAAACTGACTTTGCATATGCCAAAAACTAAAACTAGACCCATGCCTATCACCATGCACTAAAAAGAAACACTAAATCTGTTAGAAGACAGAGTAGGTAGAAATCTTGAATACATAGGGGTAGGCAGACAATTCATGAACAAAAATCAAACTGCGTGGAAAATACTTCCCAGAGTCAAAAACTGGAGTTTTGTTTTACTAAAAAGTTTTTGCATGTCAAAAGAAATTTCCAACAGAGTGAAAAGAAAACCCGCAAATGGTGAAAATGGTTAGCCAATTAAAGCTGCTTCTTGTATCACCTTTGCTAATGTCCCAGTAGACCAGCCCAGAGTCAATGAAGGTAGGAATTATACAAAGGCATTGGTAGAGGGGAGCATGATTGGGGGGGGGGGGGGGCTCAATGAAAGAATCCTCTGCAGCTTGCTTTTCTGAGAACTTTTGTATCATGTCCTATAATGTCAAAGTACAGATGAGCTAGAAATGGTTCCTTTAAAATTAGGTTCAAAATCCATGAATTAGGAAAATATCTTAGCCAACTGTCCCTCAGACAAAGGACTTCTATCTAGAACATATAAAGAATTTTTTTTTAAAAAAACCAGCCCCCAAAATTCAAGGTCCCAGTTCAAAAATGGGTATCTGAGATGAATACACACTTCTCAGGTAAAGAAATACAAATGCCAAATAAATACATGAAAACATTCATCATCATTAGTCATTAGAGACATGCAAATTAAAACAATAGTGAGATTCCTTCTTATTCCAGAAAGAATGGCCCAGATCAAGAAATCAACCAAAAACAAATGCTAGAGGGGCTACGGGGAAAGAAAAGAACTCTTCTCCATTGTTGGTAGGAGTATAAACTGGTGCAACCACTGTGGAAATCAGTGTGGAGTTTCCTCAAAAAGCTAGGATTAGATGTTCCATTTGACCCAGCTATCCTTTTTCTGGGCATTTCCTAGAAGAATTGAAAACATCATTCCACAGTGATATATGTGTACCCAGGTTTATAGCAGCAGAATCTGGAAGAGCCAAATCTTGGAAACAACCCAGATGCCTTCAAATGAGAAATGGATAAAAAAAGATGTGGTATTTTTATACCACTATTCAGCTATAAAGAAAGATTGCATCAAGGCTTTTATAGGTAAATGGGCATGACTTGAAACCATACTCATAAGTGAAATAAACTCACATGTGTAAATACTGTATTGTCTCCCTAGTGTAAGAAACTGAAAGAGTAAATAAGATGCAAAACCTACAATAAATATGTGGAAGAGTAAGAAACTGTTCAAAGAGGAAAAGTAACTGGGATAAGACAAAGGAGGAAAGAATGAAGGGAAAAGAAAAAAGATATAAATTTGTATATACCTCTATATAGATAGATTAAATATATCTATAAATAGCTGTATATATCTATCGATAAGTCTATATATAGATGTCTGTCTATATAGAGATTTATATACAGATATATTCATATATATACACACATACACAAGATAGCTAAGATGATACTACTAATTCTATTAGTTCTTGGAAAAGAACAGTTAATACTCATATGATTAGACCAATTTTGCATGTCTGTATCTGGTAACCTAAGAACCCTTTTGAAGATAGCAATATGCCGTAATACAACCATTGTTAAATTCCTATTATCTTGTTTTGAAAGCCTGTATTGTTGTTGTTACTTGTCCCTTTTGCTTTTTTTCTCTTAAATAAATAAAAAATATGTCATTGCACAGTTCAAGATAGTGAAGATTTATGCCTATCTTTTCTCTAGTTTTATAGTTTGAGCTCTTATCTTTACATCAGTGGATCTATTTTGAGTTAATTTTTGTATGTGAAACAAAGAAGAGAGCCAACTTTGTTTATTTATCTATCTATTTATTTAGTTTTTCAGGAAGATACCCAGTTGTCCTAGTACCATTTGTTGAAAAGTCAGTGTTTTCCCTGTTGGCTTATCAACTGTGTCAAAAATCCTGTAATCCTAAATGTAAGGTCTTATTTCTAGTTTCTCAATTCTATTCCAGCAATCTATCTATATTTCTGCCTTACACCAGTATCACAGTCTTTGAATATTGTAGCTTTGTAGTTCAGTTTCTTTTTTTATCTTTTGGTCAGTGTTTTATTTTAAATATTATTTAGTTTACTGGTACAGTTAGATATTCATAACCATCACATTTGCCTTAGGAAATTTGTACCTGTGTATTTTTTTCCCATTCCCCTGCCCTCCCTTCAACCCCTCTTCCTTTCCATATTTACAAAACTTTGTCTCCATTTTGTCCTTTTTTTCTCATTTTTTT